CCGAGGCAAAACAATGTAACTGACATTTCTGTCAATTTTGAGGTATCATTTGGGAGTATATTAAACACTTCTGAATTACTTTTTAAAATTTCTTGTCTCAACAATAAGTAGTCTTGGAGATAGTACCACCTATCTTTAAACACAAAACTTAAAATGTAATGATTTTCTGTGATAAAACAACGTAACTGCAAGATTACATGGCAAAACAACGTATCTACGATGAAGATACGTTGTTTTTCCTCGGAGTGGCATTGAAAAATTGTTTTGAGATGATTGAGTTTGGCAAGGCAAAATCAACTAGTTGATGGTGTTTTCTTATCAGTAATCTAAACGACGATGTATGCACAAGCTAATAAATGCATATGATTGCCCTAGACGTAATTAATTCCAAAAATAGGTTGTACTCGTGACAATATCATGCCTGACATGTTTCGGGGGTAAAACAACGTATCTATAAATATCGTTAATAACTTTGAAATAAACCAACGGTTGTAATTAAAAATTTTTATGTAATCATAATGTCTATAATTATCAGAAATATATGAATATTTATTGACAAGTTGCAAACATGCAAACTTTAACTCTATTTTTCTCGAAAAGTGAAAATTTCAAGTTACGTTGATTTGCCACAGAACGGCTGATTGGTAAAGCAGGACTGATTTGGTTTCCCAACCTGAAGGTCGGTGTTTCAATCCCTTTCTGTGCATTTAACTTGTGTCCTTGAGCAAGGCATTCATCTGCGTTGCTTCTCTCCACCCAGGAGTATAAATTGGTGGAATTGCCTGCTCCTACTGCACTGACTGCAGCATCAATAGTTAAGCTTATACAGAAGTGCTCTGTAGCTGCGAAGAAATGCATTTATAACTGAATACAATTTAAAATAATAATATAATAGAAATTTGTATGATGACATTATTTTAACTTTTTTTTTATCTTGTAGTCTGATATTTTGGATGTTAATCACATTTTTAAGGACCTTGCTCATATCGTCCATGAACAAGGGGAGATGATAGGTATGTTAGATGGCTCTACTGATGATGATGACGGATAATGATGTCTATGTGATATTGATAATGATTTGATTATTGTTAATGGTGGTGACAATAATCAAATCATTATCAATATCACATAATAATAATGATTTGATTATTGTTAATGGTGGTGACAAAAGATATTAATGCTACGATCATGATCACCATGTTATTATTAATAATAATGATAGTAATGGAAATGTTACCTAAAAAGATGACAATAATAGTAATAATGATAATTATAATAATAATAGAAGGATTGTCCGGCTTATAAGATATGGTTGATATTGTGCACCAAGTGAATAGTAAACAAAAGAAGACTAATTGTGGTGGAATGTAATAGTAATGATGATCATATAATAATTTCATTTCATTTATTAATTTGACCAATGCACATGTACAGTAGGTACAATAATACATACTCTGATCAGGGGCAGATGGTACTGGTCACGCATTTAGTATCATACCTTTTCTGTATCTAGAGTACATGTTCTTTGATATTTCAGATAGCATAGAGGCAAATGTAGAGTCGGCAGAAATCCATGTTGAGGAAGCCAACGTTCAGCTGCACAAAGCTAGGGATTATCAGGTAAGCAATTTTTCTTAATTTTTTAAAGAGATTTATCAGAAGAGTACTAGAATTCCAGTGGTGGCTTCAGAAATTTGCCAACAGATGGTTCAACAAGTCCAACGGGGGGCAGGAGGGTCTGAATCAATGGACTGCCTAGAGCCTTAATGAGGGTCTCGATAAAATCCCTGCTTGGTTGAGCTTTTATGGTTTAGGATAGACCACATTATTATGGATTGTCACATCACAATAACTTTGTTAATTGGCAAATCGATAATCTTAGTTTGACTAGTTTGACTACGTTATTGTGGCGTCAGACGATGAGGAGTCCATGCTTTACACAACAAGAAATCTGCTGCCACCAATGCTATATTCTCAAATCTAAATATCTATAGACACTATTAATTTTTACGTAACAAATCCTTGTGAATTGGCGATATGTATGTGGGGGGTGATAAGATATCATTATATGATGTTCATATATTTATGGGCAAGTCGCATATTTTTGTACAAACAGAAGTTAAAGCATTTTTATTGTATTTTGTGTTTTAGGTTTTTTTTGTGAATAGGTACATTTTTTTTTATAATTGAGTTATTGTTTTTTTTTCACTAGTAAGTTTTTATTAAATTAGGTTAACTCCCTTGTACAATCAAGATAGGTTTTTTGTTGAATAAAAACACAGCTAGGCAATCCATATCATGTTTAGTAATCTATTACTCTCATAACAAATATCTGCTTGATATACATGTACAAAAGAAAGCACATTGAGATATGTGAAGATTACATTACACTAAGACGTTTAGGAAATGCTGAGATATGTAGTAGAGATGTACAGTAGCTTGGCAGTTATATTGCTGCCTTGGAATTCCAAGGTTCTGGTCTCAAACCTTGTGACAGCACGGGATATTTTCTTACAACTAAAAAGCATCTCCATTCCAAGTCAGATAATGAGACTAAAAAGCATCACATTATTTCATTTATTTAAGAGCACCCTCTATGAATATGGTTGAAGAAAATAAATAAATGTATGAAGGTTACTCAAGAATGTGTGTGTGTCTGTGTTAGTAATAAAAATAACAGTATTGTATTATTATTATTAATATTTTTTTTAATTTATTTTTTAAAATGATTATGTTGTTATTTCAATTATTATTATTCGAACTATTAGTTATAATGTATATTGAGCACTACATACAGTACCTGCATCTTTGGTGAACCTACTTCCAGTTTTGGGAGACCAGTTTTTAAGAAATAATCATATTTAATTCAATTAAATACTTACTTTATTCAACAACAATGATATAAAAAGCATAGTAAAACTTTAGTAAACTAACTTATGCAGTAAGCCATGTAAAAAAATTGTTTGTTTTCTTTTATTTTGCAGAAAAAATCCAGAAAGAAGATGTGTTGTATTTTTATTTTCTGTATCGTTCTACTTGGTATCATAGCATTAGTCCTTTACTTGACACTAAAACCATAGAAATAGCAGTCTGCTACCAAATCGATGTGGGTTTACATTGTGTATAGGTCTCCCTCTAATTAAAGACCCTCCAATTAGAGACCACCTCCAATTAAGGACCACATTTTTGTGACCCCCATATTAACAAATGTGTTTGATCTTTATTTTAATTATATCACCATGTAAACCCTGGTCCCAAAAGTGGTCTTTAGTTCGAGGGAGACCTGTAGTCTCTTATCAGAAAACTAAAATTGTACAGTTAGATATTAATGCAATTGTATATCATTTTACTTCTTTTTCTGTTGGATTTTTTTAGGCAAAAACAATGAAATTAATTTTTTTCTTTTTCATTTCCAATTTCTTCTAAGTACAAGGTCAATATCAAAGGTTAATGCTATGCTAATGTAAGGTTAATGATTTTCCAATAGAGTGCTTTCGATTTGCGATGACATAGAACGTAATTACATCATATTAATTTAATTGCGCATGTCTGAACATCGTGCATTATTGTTCTCTCCTTAAATCTTGAATGGTTGTCGACCGAATCAAAATTCAGGCCAGAACAAGGACTGTACTGTATTAAATATTGGTGCGTCAACCTTTTGCATTTTTGACACATCCGTGTACACTCGGCAAGAAATCAAAATGTATTTAAAGTAGAACACCTGTTTCACGTTCCCGTTCTACGTTTTCAATCAAAAGCGACTTAATGTCAAAGTGCTGCTGCATTGATGAATACTCCCCGGGGTACTGAGTATGTGTTACTGGGTACGTGTTTGTTCCAATCACTAGGGTAATAATGTGAAGTGCATAGAGGCCTTGACATATGCTGTATAAGACTAGAAATGTTATTTTAGGGATACTCCTATACAAAGCACCATTGATGTAATCAGGTGTTTTCATGATTAAATGAAGTATTTTATTGTATTTATTATCAGTCATCCAGTGATTTTAAAAAGTATACTGTATATTGTTAATTAATGTTGGTTGTATTTTTCTGTTACCCTTATAAGGTCACTGTCCAGGTTAACAGGATATTAAAAAATTGCCAAATTATTATGTAATAATATAATTATTACCATAATAATTAATGTTTGGTACACATTCACATGCGGTTTTTAACAAATTCTATTATAATACACAGGTTGTGTAAATGTAGGTCATATTCTGCTTTGTAATATGACTAATTAGCGTAGGATTCACACTAATAATTTAGATAAAATTTGTGGCACAATGGTGAAGCTGCAGGCTTTAATGGTAAATCAGGGGTTCGAGTCTACTATGATCACTTGTGTGTGTCCTTGAGTAATGCACTTTACCTATATCTAGCACTCTACCCAGGGGATTATTGAGTGAGTGGCATAATTGTATGTCAGTTCAAGCTGAGTATGTGTTCCATTGTGATTGATCCAATCACTGGGGTAATTCTGTGAAACGCGCACAGCATGATGTGCTATATAAAACTTCGATATTAAGTTTGAGCAGGCAGTTGATTAAGTAAGTTGGTGCTTAATCTAGCTAGGCCGGGCACACATTGCATTACCCAACTGTCGACAGACAAACTCATTATTGCTTTCTCTGTTAACGCTTCACATCGCTGCCTGCTGATTGTCTGTCTCTAGAATCGCTTTGACTGACGTATGCCTACATGCTGTGTGCCTGGCTTAACTGTGCATAAACATTGATCAACATTTTACAATATTTCATAATTGTAATATATTACAATTTCACAATATCAACATTTTAGAAGATAAAGTGAGGCATATAAGCAGTATGGAACTTCTGTATGTAATTCAATGTTTTTAAATATAAGAAATTAATTAAAAATGATTGAAAATATAAAAAAAACAGGTCTCTCTATTTTAAAACCCTCCAATTAAAGACTACTTTTCTGTGGTCGCAAAATAACAAAATGTCTTTTATTATTCTAATTAGAGACCAAACTTGCTAAAGACCAATGAAACACCAGTCCTAAAAGTGGTCTTTAATTGGAGGTAGACCTGTACTAGTTTAGCTGATACATATTGAATCTGATATTTTTTATAAAGATTATTATATAAATAATAATAATTAATATATTACAAGGGAATTAAGTTTGTGTTCTGTAGATGTTTCATCCATATGTCTGAGGTTACAGTGGGAAGTGTATATTATGCCTTGGTGCTTTATGTGTTGTGCAGCTCTGACATAATGTACTTAGGCCAACATGCATGATTTGTTAAATCAAAATTATTATTATTACTATTATTATTATGGTTATTATTATTATTATTATTATTATTGTTATTATGTTACTAAAACCTACCTTAAGGGGAACTTAGACAATGGAGAAATTAGAGAACAATTAAAAAAACGATGTTAAAGGGGAAATAACATGACGTTAATTGGAAAATAACATTAATATAAAAATAAAATTAAAAATAAAATAAATAAAATAAAATTAATATTCCCCTTAAGTCCGATTTAGAGAAATTATTATTATTATTATTATTATTATTATTATTATTATTATTATTATTATTATTATTATTATTATTATCATTAAATATTTTTATTATTTATTGTAATTGTTAGTAGTAAACATTCCTTATAGATTCTTTCATCTATTTCTGTTAATATTTTTTTACTGGTTAATTAAATACCGCACAATTTTTGTATACTCAAATAGTTAATGTTTTAATCAAAATAACAATATACTGTATTATTTTTAAAATTATAATTATCATCATCATCATCATCATCATTATCGTCATCATCACTATTATTCAGACATATATACAAGAAGTAGCTAAATGATCACATCTAATTTTTCGTTTCAGGTCATGCAATCAAATACTTATTATGTAAATTATGCCTGAATTTAAAAGATATAATCATTCTATATATGTATACCAAGTGCAAGTTAACATTATATAGATAGGTAGTAATAACTGCTGTATGTAAACTATTGATGCTGTGCTATAATAGCAAACAAATGACTAGGCTAGGGTGTCATTGTCTACTCTGGTGCCTCCCCTATAGTTATTTGTTTAGTAGTATCAGTCGATCTGCAGTTTAGATATCCTCTAACCTGGTTCTTTTCACCAGGCTGTGATATTTATAACTATAGCTATTTTTTGTAAGCTAATGTATGGTCTATTAATTGTCGTCATTATTAGTACCACTATCTTCATCAGTGGTAGATCTAGAGATTCGACTTAGAGGGGTCTTTGACAAATAGTGTGTATACTGCCTCAGCCCCAAAAAATGGTGGGGCTGAGGTAAGAAAAATTATGATTATGGCACCTCTGCGTGGCCGGAAATGGTACTCCCAGACTTAAATTTGAATATTATTTTATTTTTTCTCCATATTGTTCATAATTTTGAAAAATGTAGGGACCCCTGGCCGGATGGTCCCGCCTTGAATCTGCCACTGTTTGCTATTAGCTTCATTATTATTCCCATCAGTATCACCATTGCATCACTATCATCAAACCATTATCATCATTACTATTATAATTATCATCATCTGACATCATCATCACCATCATCATCAAAATAATCAAAATGAGCATCATTGTCATTATCATCACTATTCATTGTCATCCTTGTCATAATTACCACCACTAATTTACATCCTTATCGAAGCATCAATATCATCGTCATAAGCATCACCATTAGTGGGCCTACCATTATCTTAGCAACTTTACCACCAAATCAGACGATTATCATTATCATTAATTATGACTCCCTCCTTTTTATTTCCTTAATTTCATGGTTATTATGATATGATCCGTAATACTCGGGTTGTATTGTGTACAGCGAATACCCGTATATTTACTCGGCTGTATATTTACGATGATCATTAATAACCATTGGGTGTTTTATGTGTACACTGTATGTGAATAAATTAATGATTTCTCAAGTTGCTTAAAACGTTCATTTTTTTATATCTATAGCTCCAAATCTACTGGTATATATACTGTCACCCGCCGTTGGGTAAAATTTGAACTAAAATAAGAAAAAATATTCACAGAATGGATTAGGAATGAAATATAATTATATAATGTAAAAGAAAAAAAAATGAAAATAACAAAATCATTAATAAAAAATGCTTAAATAAATGGGAAGTAATAAGAACAGTAAAAAGACAGAGCCCGGGCATAAAAAAGAAATATTGTGAAGAACTTTATACAATTTTTTTGGTTAAAAACAGGGGAATTGTCAGAAAAGAAAATTAGCAGAGGTGTTTTAGAATTGTAGAAATAAAACGTTTTTTTTTTGTTGTTTTTTTTTTGTTTTTTTTATAAATTTTATTATATTTATTTATTTATTTATTTTTTGAGTGTCAACTTTGCCATAAGGCGCCAAGAGAAGACAAGAAAAGGAATTATTATTAAGACAGTGAAGAGGCTTAACATTAAGAGAATTTAGTATTCATACGCCTGAAGAGAAATGACGAATCGGAAGGCAATGGTTCTATGAAAGATAACTGAAACATAACTGAATTAGTGACGCAACAATTTATCATAGGTGGATAAGAAGTGTTTATTTAAATAGTCTAAAGGCATGCGGGGTTGTATCCATCTCAAAGTAGGCTACGACAAAGATACCATGCCTCATAACAAAATCAGAAGTTAAAGTCTCATGCACACCGTATCCGAATTTTCGGATCGGAAGGCCTAGCGAACCGATCAGAAAATGGAATAAGTGTGTAAAATTAGGGATGCTGGCGTTCAGCAAATCGGAAACTCGGTCCGAATTTCGGTTCAGATCCGATGTGAATACAGGTTTAGTCGGTGCCATATGTTCACATAGCCACAATAAAATTGTTGGAAATGACGTCATACATAAAAAAAAAAAAAAAAAAATAAGAACACATTTTATAAGAACACAGAGGCTGAAATTGCCTAAAAATTAATAAAAAAATAAGAACAAATTCATTCTGAGGAAAGATTTCAAAGGAGGTTTTTAGTTAAAAAACTTAAAAAAGCCCCCATCAAATCTTTTATCTGTACCTTATTTGCAGTAGGTGTGACTATAGTCTGGTTGTAAAACTGCTGAAATGAACTTCAGCGAGAAAAAAGTAAAGGAAAATTAATTTTTGGTTTTTCTGAATCAGCATAC